TCGAGGCAATTCATTTGTTGCTCTGAAATTGATTTTTGTTTCTGTCATGAATCAGTTGTTCTCAATAACTCGAATTGTTAGAAGATGGTCAATTGTGTATAATATATCATTTACTAACAATTTCTTGGGACAGGTTACAGTGATTACTATTTTATAGTAATCACCGTGGTTACTAAGGGCAAATTGGGTATAACAAAAAATTTATTAATGATCTTTTTTTAATAAATTACATTTTAGGAAATTACATAAATATATTAAATACAATTTTTCTCTCTCTCTTTCTCTCACTTCCACAATTTTTCAGCCAGATCTCTCTTCCTTCTTTTTCTCAATCTTTCCTTGATTTCGTTCATCCAAACTAATACCGCTGCAACAAAAAAACAATAAATCAATACCAATCCATTAAAAAAATACTACCATTGTACAAAACATCAATACCATTCAAGAAATAAAAACACTACCATTTCACAAAACATCAATACCATTGCAGATTTAATCACTACCAATGCGACAAAATCAATACCAATGTAACAAAATCAATACCAATGTGACAAAAATAATACCAATGCGACAAAAACAATACCAATACGACAATAACACTACCACTTCGTGAAAAAATGACTACCATTTAAAAAAAATCACTACGGAAAAAATGATACCACTACAATAAAACATTAAAAAAAATACTACCATTGCACAAAAAACCAATATCATTCGAGAAATAAAAACACTATCGTTTCACAAAACACCAATAACATTGCAGATTTAACCATATAGCAATACATTCAAATCAATACCAATGCGAAAAACACTACCACTACGAAAAAATCACTACCATTTCACAAAAGAGAAATACCAATGCGAAAAAACACTACCATTACGGGGAAAACTACTACCAATGCGAAAAAAACACTACCATTATGGGGAAAAAACACTACCAATGCGAAAACGTACATACCACTAAAAAACCACCCGTCTTCTTCTTTTAGTCGAACTCCCAAGTTTTTTTTGTTATCCCAACCGTTATTTTTGCCTTGCTGAAGAAGAACAGAAGGGTGGAGAGAGAGAGAGAGAGAGAGAGAGGATGGGTATTGGGTTTTAGGGTATACAGTTGTGTGGAGGGTCTACTGTGGAGGAAGAACGGATGGGATGAGAGGGAGAGGGAGGGGGAGGGGGAGGGGATGGCCGGTGAAGGGAGGTGGGCGGAGGGGAGAGGAATGGGGGGAGGGCAGTCGACAGCCGTCGTTGATGAAGGAGGTCGGGGAGGGTGAGAGCTTGCGGCTACGGCGGGTTTGGCTGTAGAAGTAGGGTTAGGATAGAATATATAGAATAATCAAGTGTGGTCCTTTTTTTTTTCCAAAATTATCCCGAGGCAATCTTAACCGTAAGATTAAAAAAAGAGGAAAGAGAAGAAAATAAATGGTGGATACTGATGTAGTCATGGTGGCTACTAGAAATTCAGTTTCCACCTTAACGCATTCCCAATTTCTTCATTATGAATCATCCAACCGGACATATGAGTTCAGAATAGAAAGCACCCTCCAAATAAGTTAAAACATTATCTCATAATCTCGTTCAAAACAAGACAATACATGTAAAATTATGGATCAAGATGTCGATGTAATTGAGCGTTGGTTGGTTTTCACTTCCCAAAAAGAGTCCGCCTAATAAATAAATAAAAATTGTGGGTACTTTTGGTAGGGAATGGTCCATGCACAAATAAAGTGTCAAACAAACTCAAAACTGAAAGCGTGAGTAGTTCATTTCAATGAGACACCACTTGGTAGGATTAATTAAGCCACTACTGTACCCAAGGAAAGGGGCAATGGTCACAACAACTCACATTATGTAAGGTGGTCTTCTTTTCTGTGAGATGAATCAATCAATTAAAGTCCTACCTCGATTTCTCCATGGATGGCCTTCGATTTCTTACCAACACTTTGGTCATGGTTAGCATCTGCGACTATAACTTTTTGCTTGAATAAGTAACATCACGAAACACTCAAAGTTGGACCTAATAGTTTTCATAAACCAGTTGATCCCAATAACTCGAGTTATTGGAAGAAGTTCAATCGTGGATCATACACCATTTACTAACACAGTAACACTCAAAGTTTGGACAACACTCCGAACACCGTGTACTTAACAGAAATATATGGAGTCATAGAGAATCAAACAGAAGACCTCATAGTCACAAAAGGCTCTGATACCATGTCAAGAACCAATTGATCCCAATAACTCGAGTTATTGGAGGAGATTCAATCGTGGATCATACACCGTTTACTAATAATAGTATCAAGACAGATATGCGAACTTTATATATTGTATTTGAGTCTCTGTAAATCCACGGCTTGTCATCCTTCTGAATCTGGTTTTTTTAGGTTGTAATTATCACAATATACAATAATCATCTTTATTGGGGAAAAAGTTACCAAAGGAAAACACGACTAGATACTATCATCTTTGTTAGAAGAAAATGTACCCAAGAAATACACTTACCCAGACATGATGATGTACCAAACACCATCTCTTGACACCGTCTCTTGACACCATCTGTAATTTTTCTTGTTATTGCCGAAGTATGAAAATGACCAACAATTAGAAGAAAAGGAAGGATAAACAATCTCACTCACATAGTTTAATCCACCAATAATGTATCTTTTTTCTGGAAAAAGAGAGACAAATCTCAATCACAGAAACATTTGTGAATAGGTGAAATGTTCATTTATTGAAACCGACAAGAAATAATTATTTATCTTATCTTCCCCCAACAATAATTTCTTGTGATTGAAAGTGTCAAATTATAGATCCTGCCAATGCATGAACAAAAAAAAACAGTCCGCAAATTTTGAATTGGCAACCTATGACTATAATGTAACATTCCATCTTTTCTAATTAAGATATTGTTTGTTTTGTTAATTTTCGCATGATTTTACTTTTGGGCAAATCATGCTAAGCTTTTAGAAGGTTATTCATCTTTATTATGTTCTACATTGAGTACGTTTAATTATATTATTATTATTATTATTATTATTATTATTATTATTATAACAGTGTTCTACAAGGACACGGATAGTTAGGGTATCATCTTCACCCTATAAATATCGTAGCTTGTAAAGAACAAGACATTCAAGCCGACCATAATACTCAAATTTGAGAGGGAGATCCTCTCCGTGGAATAGTGTCAATTTGACGATACCATATTAAAAGAGCTTGTGTGTTTTTTTAGTTCTTATTTATGGCTTGATAATTTAACAAGTTTTTATTATTGGAATTCTTTCATTTCACCTCAAACGCGCGTTTTGTAAATTACAAAATGAACGTTTGTTATAAATTATAGATCTTCCCAACGACGTAGGATTTGGGAAAAGTGTTGCATATAATTTATCAATTTTGTTGAGAGCCGAGATTGCCCACGAAAACAAAACTCTAATAATACCCGAGAATGATCCGATCGAGCCCATGAACATAAAAGAAAAACAAAACAAGGACAAAGAAAGGACAAAAGGTTGCTTTCCGATGTATCTCGGCCGTGTGATACTCGAAGTTTTGGATACCAACACCATTCTCCACTTGCATTCTTTTTTGGCAGCTAGCAATCGGAACTTGAAGTAGCAGAGAAATTGAGGATTTTGGTAGCTTTTCTGCAGAAGAGATCACAACCTGAAAAGCAAGCCAAAGAGTAAATTCCTGCAAATTGCTTCTTTCCATGGAATAATTCCACTCTCTTTCTTCATAAGTTTGGTTGTCAATCTATCTTCTTTTCTTATGTGACAAGGGGATCATAGAGGGCGAAATGTTTGGTCCGGTCAATTCGGTCAATTTATGGTGGTTATCATCGTGTCAATTCGGTTTTTCATGTCAAAAAATCGAACTGTTTGCGTCCAATCCGGGTCTTGGACAAAACAGGTTACAATCTGATATCTAGTTCCAATTTTTGGTTCAATCTCAATCTGATCGACCAGACCGGACTAGTCCAGTCCGACTTGACCGGACCGGACTGTTTTCCACCCCTTGGAGCTAGATCTGCAATTGTTTTGATCAGAGTGCAAATCTTTCCAGCACAATCAAGCTTTATACTTGATAATATATATTAATCTTTGATAATAATGGCTATTAGTAAACAATGCTCAATGGAAACCCATATGTGTAGTTGATTGTGACAATATTGATAATGCATTTTATTACCAATTTCGCAGATATAATATGATAAGAATGATAGTTTTCACCTTTATCTGTTTATATTCACTTGTCTGCCGCTCCCCATTTCCCAGATTCAGATTAGTACACTATTTGAGTGAGAAAGTAGCCTGGAGATATCATTTCTGAAGAAGGAATCTCTGGAGCAAATATTCCAACTTTCTCCCATTTCCTGATTCTTTTTCAAGTTCCAATATGACCCTGAATCGATAGCTAGTAGTCCTAGGTAGGTTGGTAAAATGCCATGAGAAGGTATATTCTCCCAAAATATTCTCTCCATTTTAGTACTGCAATGTATACAATTTCTGTACAAATTCCTATATACTTCATGCTCCTTCATAGTGGTTGTTTTCCCAGAAACTGTCACTAATTACGTGATGATCATTTGAATACAAAACTTATCAGAATGAAAGGAGGGATCACAATCAGATTGTCGATTCACTGTAGATTTCGTTGTCAATTTATAGGTACCTTAGTTGATGGAAGAGCTACCCAAAAAATCGACAGACGAGATTAATGACGTGATGATATAGCGAGGATAAAAATTGTGGATTGAATGTATAATAATATAATTACGATAGAAGTCTCCAAGCTAGCTAGTAAGTTACTTATTTTCTGTCTAATTATTCCGTGTGGAATGTTTCTGACTAAAACTATCTCAGCTGTATTAGTAGAACTGTTAACAGCAGCCTGGATTATGAGCACGATTTTTCCCTGCCTAGTAGTGATATTATTTTTTTAGGTAGCCGACATTTTCCTTTCCAGTTTCTCTCAATATATATCTCATCAATTATTAGATGAAAACAAACAAAGATGTTACCAATTTTATTATTTATGATTTACAGTTTCTATACAAAAATTCAACCTGTTACACTCCAACATTTTACCCCCACTGTTCTTCTTTATCGGTGAAAGAAACAAAGAAGAACAGAGGAAACATAAAGGAGAAGGGGACCTCTGGAAATTACCAAGTTCACTCCTCATATTATTCTTCCTTTACATTCTTACCATCTAAACTCTGCAACATTCTATCTATATATTCACATAGTATATACAAGGTGAAAAAGTAAAATTCCACCAAAACAAGAACAAGAGAAAGAAATTACCAAGAAAATTTTGTTGCTGTACTTTTGGTAATCTCCTCTTGAACCCCCACAAAACCCTCATACAACTTTTTTTTTTTCTGGGTGATTGACGGTCCTAAAAAACTCGATATCAACCAACAGAATCGAGATTCAAACTCGAAATCTACAGATTGAAATACAACTGCTTTATCGTTGTACCGCTAGCTCTCCATAACAACCATCATACACATTTTCCCCTTTTTTTCTGTTAATCATTCCCCAAAACCCTAATCCCCCCAATATTTTTCATTTTTCTTTGATATCATCATGATCATGATCATGATCATCCCTACCCGCAATCTGACTCTGCATCTGACCGCCATTGTTGTTGTGAGCCACAACCACCTCCTCCTTCTTCAGTTCCCCAATCTCCTTCTTCGCCTCCTTCTTCCTCACGAGATGCATCCGCACATAGGAATTCAAGAACAGAAGCATAATCGCGGCGTTCAATACCGAATTGAACACCCAAGCTCCGATCCCATTGCACCCTCCCTTCATGAAATGAAGCAGCAGAACTCCGACGTGGCAGACCAAATTCCCTCCGAGCAGAGCAATCTGGCAATTGAGCACAAAGGGGAAGCAGGCGCCGGGCAACCCGATTGCGGTCCAGAACCGGTACCCGTAAACCGCCGAATAAACCATGGTGGCGAGCATGATTCCGAGGACCTGGAAACTCTGCGAGAATTCGAGCCAGAGGAAGGAAACGACGGTGAGGATGATGTGGTTGAAGAGCTGGCAGAAGACGAGGCGGCGGGCGGAGAAGATGGAGAAGAAGGTGCGGAGCATGTGGACGAATCGGGAGAGGTAGTACATGTACGACCAGAAGAAGACCCGACCCGAGGGCCGGGTTCCGATGGGGAAACAGAGGAGCCACTGAAACGGGGTCTTTGATCGGCGCCAGAACCAGCGGGTTTCTCGGATCTCGGAGGCGGCGGAGAGGAGGATCCCGGCGAAGATGGTGGCGGAGATTAGGGCCATGGCGAGGCTGTGGAGGGCCGGGATCGGGCCGAGAGGGATGGGGCCGCGGCGGCGGCGGACGGTCAGGGCGAGGAGGAGGTGGAGGAAGGTGGCGGCGGCGAGGTAGAAGGCGATTGAGGTCACGAGGAATGACCACGTGGATCCCCATGATTGGCTGTGGCTCCACCGGAATTTCACGATCGACGGGTGCTCCGCCAGGTAGAATTTCACCGTCTGCATCATGGCTGTTTCTTTTTCTTTTTTTCTTTTATTTTATTTCTGGAGGGAGGGATGGATGGATGGACGAGACGGTGGTGGATGGGCTCGGCGGAGGAGCTAGCACCACCGTTGAGAGGCGGAGACGGCGGATTCTTTTCCCCTTTGTTTCCGGTGGTTAGCCGATCATGTGTTCGATGAAATGCGCCAGAGAAGGAAAGGGAAAAAGGGGGAAAAGGGTGGGAAACAATCTGGGGGCAATTTAGCTCCTGATTTTATTTGGTTTTTATATGAAAATTGGAGGAATTAATTTGTGGGAAACAAGAAATGACTGGTGGTGGGGCGGGGACATTGGTTGCCATTGTATTGCATGGGGAAAATGGGTCAGTGACGCGTGGAGAGACATCATTGGTTGTAGCTGCGTGTGGGGATTACACGCTTGGGTTTTTGTTTTTGTTTTTGTTTTTATTTTAATTATGGTGTTTTATAGGTAGGGATGTGCAATGATCCGGTCCGTACCGGACCATACCGGATCAAACTGTTGTTAAAATCGGGTCGAATCATACCGAGTATAATGCGAACCACACTGGATCAAACCGTTGTTAAGATCGGGTCGGATCATACCGAGTATAATGCGGTCCGATCTTTGGTCCTCATTAATTTTATAATTATTGAGAAATGATGGATAGAGCTCATAGTTGGACCGAACCAAACCGGATCAAATGGACCGAATGCAAGGATGGTCCGGTCCTTGGTTCTAAGATGTCTTTTACTAATTGACCGCGGTTCTCATGAGTTTGGTCAGGTCCGAACCGAATCGTTGCACACCCCTTTTTACAGGGAGACAATTTTGACTTGACCCATTTTACCCGACCCGTTATGGGTGGGTAATACCCGGCTAATAAGTTGAGCGGTGGCCGGTGTGGACATCTGTACTCTTCTCGACCTGACACTCATTTCATTTTCAAACTTTTTTTTTTTGCCTAAATTGAAGGTAATTTTACTCAAATTACTTAGAATTTTACTATCATTGTCTCATGTTTTAGATACAATGAAGTTGTAAATAGTTGAAAACCACAACTTTCCAAATCATTTAACCACATTTATCACATTATAATTTATTTCTTGATTTCTAATGAAAAAAGGAATATTTCTAATATATTTTTTTGAATTATATATATAGGTCAATTTGTTTCTATCCGCACCCGTATAAATTACCAGATTTGAATCCGACCTGCCACGAACAGAGTATGAATATTGAGATATCCGATAACATGCTCATTGTCAATCCTAGTTATCTATGTATAGTCATAGATATGGAGCACGTTTAATCCATCGACTACTATTAAGTGTTATGATTAATTTGGACTTGTTGGATGAAAGGTGAAGGCTACAGATTTAAACGTTTTTTATATGATTTTTACTCATCATATGTTCTCATTACACCTTTCCAGTGTGGGAGGAATTTTAGAAGTTGGATTATTATATTTGGAGGGTTAATTAATCCTTGCTTTCGAATAGCATAGATGATTACCAGTCAAAAGTGAGGGAATGAAGTGTAATCAACACACTTTTTTGGCCTAAAATACATTATTAGATCAGCAAGAGAGGGAGAAGGATAAATAGCAAGAAATTATAATATTAAAAACTGAAATTCATCACGTGAGATTACAAGTTGCAACTTTTATTTTGGGTCTAAAGGTGCTTCTTTCGAAATTATGAATAGTAATGTTGATCAATGATCATCCATATCTACTAATGGTATGTTGGATTAAAATAACAGATGATGATGGTAGTATATGGGTATCTGGAAGTCGATTGGATGATGGAATTTTGAAGCAACTTAGTCAAATTGTCTCGTTTGGCAATAGAAAAAGGATTGAGGTAATTTGAATTATTTTATTTTGCATCAATTTGAATTGACAAGGATTGAAACAAGTATTTTAAAATGATACATCAATTATGATATCAGATAATTTCAAAACAACTGTATCAAATTGCCTCATTTCTGAAATCCATTAGATATGAAAATTGGTGTGATAAGCTTGCTTTTTTATCTAAGGGAATTTATCCATGAGATTTGACTGCAATGGCAAATTCTCATCCTCAATTCCTTATAATATATAAGAGAGAGCCCAATAGGTTGGGTTTTACTCTCATCTCTCTTTATTTCCGTCATTTCCTTTGTTCTTGAAGCTCTATCGGGACAGTTATCTTGGTAATATATATGTTTTGATTTCTTATACCAATAAATTATCACGGATTAGAAAGATATTAGGAGCTTGATGGCTCTTTTGGAATCATGTTAGTCCTTGCAAACGTGTAAGTGGGATTTGAGGATCAGAATACAGAATACATAATTTAGAGATATTTCCTTTTGAGATTTTGTTTCAATGTGAATTGAGTTCGAATTAGTTTTTTCGCGAATTGTTGTGCATTGCGATCATTTTTTTTGTTAAAGCTTCCTCCACAATTTGGTGGATAGAATAAGAGTATGAGTATATGAAGATTCATCCAAATTCATCCATGCTAGCTAGTTTCTTTCTTCAATAGCTAATATTGCATCCACTACTCCTCCCGTAATTCGATCAATATGGAGATGATCGCACACTCATAATTCACAACGATTATTGTTGTCTTTTAAAGACTTTTGAACCTGGATATAAATGAGCACTAGCGGAAGCAAACCCAATATGAAATCGAACAAGAAAACAGAGAAGAGAATGAACAAAGACAAGACACCAATTTTACGTGGAAAACCCTCCAAAGAAGAGGGAGAAAAACCACGGGCTGGACAAGCCAGTAAATCCACTATGATCAAGGAATAATCTTCAACGTACAAAGTTGTGGAGTAAGTAGAAAACTCCCAACATAAAAGAAAAGTACTCAAGAAGATATTCTACACTTTAGGAGAAGAAAGGAGTTGGATGGAATTGGTGTGTCTATTCAACAACAATAGACTCTCTATTTATAGCCATGCAAAATGGCTTATGAGATGCCAAAGAAAAAGTGAACGGCACTCCCATTAACCAAATGGAAACTCCACACAATTAACTCCATGTGGTCATTAACTTTCATAACCCCAAGTAACCTCAAGTGTCTTCCATAACTCCAAGTCTTGAATTAATTTGAGGCATCAATACCAACAATCTCCACCTTGAATCAAATTTAGAAAGACTTGTCCAGAAACCTCTGAGAGGTAATCAAGCTCTTCGAATTCCAACTAAGTTCAAACAACGATCAAACTTAGTTGAAGGAAGAACTTTAGTGAGCATATCTGCAGGATTGTTGTCAGTATGAACTTTCTTCACACTAATATCACCTGCAACCATAACATCTCGGACAAAGTGGTACTTGACTTCTATATGTTTTGTCTTCGCATGATACATGTCATTTTTAGTCAAGTGAATGGCACTTTGACTATCCGAAAATACGGTTGAAACAGTTTGTTCAACTCCAAGCTCAATAACTAGGCCACGTAACCAAATAGCCTCTTTAACCCCCTCAGAAATAGCAACATACTCTGCTTCTGTAGTTGACAAAGCAGTTACGGGTTGCAAACAAGATTTCCAGCTAACACATGAATTGCAGAGAGTGAAAACATATCCGGAAAGGGACTTCCGTTTATCTAAGTCACCTGCAAAATCAGAATCTGTGAAGCCTATAATATTGTTGGAAGGATTTTCACTCCTCTCAAACAATAGACCCATATCACGGGTTCCCTTCAAATACCGAAGTATCCACTTCACAGCATTCCAATGTTCTTTTCCTGGATTTTGCATATACCTGCTGACAACACTTACTGCATTTGCAAGATCGGGTCTTGTGCAGACCATAGCATACATCAAACTACCAACTGCACTCGAATATGGAACGCTAGACATATAATCCACTTCTTCATTTGTTGTTGGACAATAAGCAGCAGATAACTTGAAATGAGCAGCGAGAGGAGTAGAAGTGGGCTTACAATCAATCATTCCGAACCTTTCAAGTACCTTATCAATGTAATTTCTTTGGTTCAAAAATAATTTACCAGCTTGTCGATCTCTTTGGATCTCCATACCTAAAATCCTCTTTGCTGCTCCAAGGTCCTTCATCTCAAATTCTCCTTTTAGTTGTGACTTTAACCTTTCGACCAACATTCTGTTCTTAGAAGCAATAAGCATGTCATCAACATAAAGAAGTAGATAAATGTAGGAGCCCTCGGGAAATTTTTGGAAGTATACACAATTATCAAATTGACTTCGTGTATAACCATTTCCAATCATAAAAGTATCAAAACGCTTATACCATTGTCTAGGAGCTTGCTTGAGACCATATAATAATTTTCTCAAGCGACAAACCATATGCTCCTTTCCTGGAATCACAAAGCCTTCTGGTTGCTTCATGTATATCTCCTCCTCGAGATCACCATGAAGGAAAGCAGTTTTCACATCAAGTTGCTCTAACTCCAAATCAAAGAGAGCAACAAAAGAGAGCAAAATTCTTATGGAAGTGTGACGCACAACAGGAGAAAAGATTTCATTGAAATCAATACCTTCACGTTGGTTGCAGCCGCGAACAACCAACCGCGCCCTCCATCTTGCCTCTTCAATACCGGGAATTCCTTCTTTCTTTTTGTATATCCACTTATTTGAAAGTGCTTTCTTCCCCGTAGGAAGGATACATAATTCCCATGTATTATTCTTCAACAAACTTTCGTTTTCTTCATTCATTGCCGCAAGCCATTTAGATGAATCTACACAAGATATAGCTTCTTTGAAAGAAGCAGGCTCAATTTCTTCTGAAATTTCTTGTGCAACGGCGAGAGCATACGCAACAAGCTCATCATCTCTATATCGAGCAGGTTTTTGTATAACTCTCCTTGGCCGATCTCGAGCCAAGATATAATCTTGTGGCACTTGAGGTGGCATTTCGTTATTTTGAACTTCACTAGGATTTAACTCTAGAGAAGATAGATGGGTAGGTGAATCTTGTTGTTCGAACTCCACCTTGTCTCTTGGAGTCTCAAGATTTTCTGCATCATGGGACGAAGAAGTACCATCTTTGACAGAAAATAAGGCATCTTCATTAAATGTAACATCTCTACTTTGAATAACCTTGTGAGATTCAATACACCAAAAACGATAGCCTTTTGACTCCATAGAATATCCCAGAAATAAACACCTTTTAGCTCTTGGAGAGAGCTTACCCTCATTTACGTGATAATATGATGGGCAACCAAATATTCTTAATTTGGAATAATCAACTGGTTTACCTGTCCAAATTTCTTCTGGAATTTTATAATCCAACGACTTATGTGGAGAACGGTTGATTAAATAACAAGCTGTTGCTGCAGCTTCTGCCCATAAATCACGTCTATGCCATAAACCTGCATTTGACATCATACACCGAGTCCTTTCGAGAATTGTTCTGTTAAGTCTTTCGGCAACACCATTTTGCTGAGGTGTTTTAACTAGAGTTTTGTGTCTTCCAATTCCATGTGAGGAACAAAATTCATTAAACTCATTTTCACAGAATTCCAATCCATTGTCAGTTCTAAGCTTCTTAACTTTCCTTCCTGATTGAGTTTCAACTAGCACTTTCCACTTTTTAAATGCAGAAAAGGCTTCATTTTTGTGCCGTAAGAAATAAACCCAAACTTTATGAGAGAAATCATCAATAATTGTCATCATGTATCTACGACCTCCTATGGAAGGAAATTTAGAGGGTCCCCATAAATCTGAGTGAATATAATCAAGCACCCCATTGGAACTATGGGAAGCAGGAGAGAAACTGACCTTTTTCTTCTTCCCGAAGATACAATGTTCACAAAAGTCAAGTTTCCCAAAATTTTGGTTCCCCAATAGTCCTCTCTTGCTTAGAACTGTCATTGGCTTTTCACCCATATGTCCTAGCCGCATATGCCATAATTGAGTATTATGCGAATCAAGCAGCGAGGTAGAAATATCTGCTGAACCTGTAACAACAGAACCTTGCAGGACATATATCATACCAATGCGGTTAGCTTTCATCAGAACAAGAGAACCTCTAGATACCTTAAGAACTCCACCTTCAGCTCCATATCTGCACCCAAGAGACTCGAGGGTGCCTAAAGAAATAAGATTTCGCTTCATGTCAGGAACATAGCGAACATCAGAAAGAGTTCTGACAACCCCATCATGAAGACGCATTTCAATTGTACCAATACCAAGAACTTTGCAAGGATCATCATTTCCCATTAGCACAACACCAGAATTAACAGGTTTAAGTGTTTTGAACCAGTTCTTATTGGGACAAATATGAAAAGTGCATGCAGAATCAAGAACCCAAACATCCGAATTACTGTCATCGTAAGAAGAAATTGTTGCCAAACCTTCACCATCAGAATCGTCATTGACGATACTAGCTTCTCCGGCTTCAGAAGCCTTTTGAGATTGCTTTTTCTTTTCTTCTTTGGCCTTTAATTTGAAACAATTTGAAATTTCATGACCAGTTTTGCGACAATAGCGACAGTACTTCCCATCATCAGATTTTCGACCATTTGACTTGGATCGAGCTTTACCTTTACCTTTGCTTGATTCCCCTTTTTCCTTGGATCTTCCTCTTATAAATAGACCTTCACCTTTGTCATTAGAACTGGACTCAAAGTCAAATTTTTCTTTTGACAGTAAGTTAGATTTTACATCTTCATAAGACAAAGTATCCATATTTCCATAGAGCATGATCTCTTTAAAGTGTTTAAAGGACTGGGGCAATGAGCATATTAATAAAACAGCTTTATCCTCATCTTCAATTTTCACGTCAATATTTTCCAAGTCCATAACAATGGAATTGAAGGTAGAAAGATGGGTTTGAATTGGAGTACCTTCAGCCATACGAGTAGTGTACAACTTCTCTTTTAGACGAAGCTTGTTAGCGAGACTTTTCGTCATATAAAGTGACTCTAATTTTGTCCAAAGTCCAATTGCAGTTGTCTCACTCACCACCTCCTGCAAAACCGATTTTGACAGGCATAATTGAATAGCAGTAAGAGCCTTTTCATCGAGCTCTTCCCATTGGACATCAGTCAAGGTCTCTGGTTTGGCTTCGAGACCAAGTAAAGCCTTTTGAACACCATTTTGTGTCAAAATTGCCTTCATTTGAATTCTCCATATCGAGAATGATATCTTGCCATCAAACTTCTCAATGTCAAACTTTGCAGTCATCTTGTCGAGGATTTCAATTGGTTGTCAAGGGCTCTGATACCACTTGTTGTCTTTTAAAGACTTTTGAACCTGGATATAAATGAGCACTAGCGGAAGCAAACCCAATATGAAATCGAACAAGAAAACAGAGAAGAGAATGAACAAAGACAAGACACCAATTTTACGTGGAAAACCCTCCAAAGAAGAGGGAGAAAAACCACGGGCTGGACAAGCCAGTAAATCCACTATGATCAAGGAATAATCTTCAACGTACAAAGTTGTGGAGTAAGTAGAAAACTCCCAACATAAAAGAAAAGTACTCAAGAAGATATTCTACACTTTAGGAGAAGAAAGGAGTTGGATGGAATTGGTGTGTCTATTCAACAACAATAGACTCTCTATTTATAGCCATGCAAAATGGCTTATGAGATGCCAAAGAAAAAGTGAACGGCACTCCCATTAACCAAATGGAAACTCCACACAATTAACTCCATGTGGTCATTAACTTTCATAACCCCAAGTAACCTCAAGTGTCTTCCATAACTCCAAGTCTTGAATTAATTTGAGGCATCAATACCAACAATTATGAATAATACTATTCCCTTTCATTACATCATATTTTGTAAGAACTTTAGCAACCGGGTCGGTGCATAATTGAAGATAAAAACAACTTGACTTGTAAGTTGTAACTCATTTCCAACGCGTTGGTGGGGTTTACTTACTTCAAGTACAGTGGGGTTTCGTCTTATTCCCAGTTCACGAAAGAGAGGGGAAAAGGAGGAAAGATGACTTGTGATCTATTTTCGGGAATGGATCAGGTCAGTAACCTTATGGTGAGTAACCATGAGTAACCCGTCCACATCAGCATGACATCAGCATCCTCTCTCTCATAGAAAGTCTTTAATTTTTCCCTCTTTAATCTTTGATGGACGATTTCTCGCTCATTTTAAGTCGAAATTTTTTTTTCCGCACAGTTAGATCAGATTAATTGTGCTCTTCAAAATGATATCCACTTTAATATATTTTTCGAACAAAAAAATTGAGTCATTTTTTACCAGCCTATACCATATGGTATTGACTGGTATTGAAATAAAAGCATACCTATGTTTTGAAAAACGTACCATGGTGGTATGAACAAACCAATACTGTAGGATGGTTGAATACATGATAGTAGAAGTATATTAATTGTAATTTACGACTTTTAACATTGTATACCACACAATACCACCCCGTACCAGGGTGGTATCGTATGGTATTGTGTGGTATTTTTTGGTCCTGTAATTGTTCACCCAAAAATTTGTAGATCCAATAGATCATGATGAACTCGTCCCTTCTGTGCAAACGTTTTCAAAAACGAATTAAAAACGAAGAAGATACCATACAATACCACCCCGTACCAGGGTGGTGTTGTATGGTATTGTGTGGTATTTTTTTGTCCTGTAATTTGTTCACCCAGAAATTTGTAGATCCAGTAGATCATGATGAACTCATCCCTGTTGTGCAAACGTTTTCAAAAACGAATTAAAAACGAAGAAGATACCATATGGTATGCAGTTGGTACCGAGAGGCCAGAATTTTTTTTTTCCTAAAAAAATATTGAAAATTGATCTCATTTTGTAGAGCACGGTGAACTCGTTCCATCTGTGCAAAAAAAATTAAAATTCGAGCTAAAACGAAAAAGATATGAGTCAATTAAGAAAGCTAGTGAAAATAAAAATAGCCTTTAATTCTCCATCCTTAGATCTGGATTTTCTAAATGAAGGGTCCAGATTTGGTTATTGATGGGTGCATAACCCATGGTTATGCACCATATCTTGAGCCCCCTTTTCTAAGACTCTTTTTTTCTTAAGGACAAAGGAAAAAGGAAGCGTCGCTTTCTAATTATATAGTGGGGCGTCGAAACTAGTTAAGGTGTTGTAAAATTGTAAACTACAATATTAGTTACAATTTATTTTTTATTTTTGTGAAAAAACAGATGATTAAATAGCAGATCAATTTAATTTCAGTCACATTCCAACAGCTTATATATAATTCTCATTTCAATTTCCGGTCTGGGTACCTAGTAGGGCTGGAAATCGGTGCGGTTGCGGTTAAGCGCACCGCAATTTGCGGTTTATAACCGCAACCGAAATGGAACAATATACACCAACCGCGACCGCACCGCAAACGGTTTTGCGGTTAACCACTAACCGCATAGTGCGGTTAACTGTTAACCATATTGCTAACCATTCGTATGGTTTGGAGACATTTTGGTCTATGATTGTGACGGAGGTTAGTGTGGTTAGTGCAGTTAACCGTGGTTAGTGGGTTAAAATGCGGTTACATGTTGTTCCGTTGCGGTTAACCCGCAAACTGCAAAACATGCAATAGAGCTCGTATGAGAGTTGGATTGACTGCACTAACCATGGCAGAATATTTCCGAGATGTTAATGAGCAAGATGTACTTCTATTTATTGACAATATCTTCCGTTTCGTCCAAGCCGGATCCGAAGTATCCGCTCTATTGGGGAGAATGCCTTCCGCTGTGGGTTATCAACCCACCCTTAGTACCGAAATGGGTACTTTACAAGAAAGAATTACTTCTACCAAAGAGGGGTCGATAACTTCCATTCAAGCGGTTTATGTACCTGCAGACGATTTGACTGACCCTGCTCCTGCCACGACATTTGCACATTTAGACGCTACTACTGTACTATCAAGAGGATTAGCCGCTAAAGGGATCTATCCTGCAGTGGATCCTTTAGATTCAACGTCCACTATGCTCCAACCTATTACTAACCGCGACCGCAAAATATCCTATTTTTTTGGTTTGCGGTAAACCACTAACCACACGGTTTCATTGCGGTTAGCGGTTTAACCACAAAGCCGCAACCGAATTGCCACCCCTGCTACCCAGCCTGCGAGTTAACTAGAATGCAGTAATTTTCGTTTGCCCATGGAAATTAAAGTAGCATGATATGTATTTATTTGTGTCAGTTATTGGGCACATATCAAATGGAATGGTCCTGTTGGACCCCCTATGTCTAACAAACAGGGCGGTACCAAAATCGTTAATAACATTATCGTATTCCATTTGAAAACTCCTATGATATTTGGACGAGACATTTAAGCCTAGGTCAGAAGGAGAGAGAGGTTACCATTTACCAATGCTGGTCGAACCACTGACCATTATGTTGAGTACAAAGACTTGAAAGCCACATAACCAACTCTTTTTCAAAAGGAGAATTTGGTTGGTAAACTCATTTTTCAGTTGCAGATCATTAATGGTGTAATGGCAAGATGAGTGAGCGAGGTTATAAAGGACATTTGGGATGACTTATTTTACGATAATAGTTGGATTAGAGCAAAACTCTATAATTGAGATCCAACGATTCGAGAAATATGACAACCATTTGGTCAATTAGAGAATAGTCGAGCGTAATTGTTTAGTTTCTTCAATTCACGTTCGTCTTCATTCTATCTCCTTTCTGACTTTACAAACTCATACTGAATTCATAATCAAACTCGACGAGAACTTAAAATAATTTGGGACCGCATTCTCCTGTCTTTCTCCTCCTTTCTCCTAGTCCTCTTGGGCTGATCTCAAGGGGTTCCTTTCCTTGATCTTTCAAAGAGTTTGGAGCTTTGAATTTAATCTGTCTCTGCTACTTCTATAGAGTTTCCTCATATAGTCATATGTGCCAGCATTCTAGGGCAAGGGCAGATTTTTTTTATTTATATGTAGCGTGTACCTAATGTCCCACACCATCCAAATTCCTTCATATTGTGAGCTATTGTTATGGTTGCTCAGAGTTCCATTGATGGGAGTGAGTAATCCAATTCTGGATTTACAAGCCATTGTGGTGCTGCCGATGAACAATGGAGTAGTGAATTGACGAAAGCAAAAAGGCAGTTTGCTTCGGCTTTAGGTTGTTGTGTTAACTTAATCCCACCACGAGTCCACGACACTGGCTGCAAAGTGCAGGCCAGCAGCTTAAAGAAGGATGGATGATTCTCAGAGGTAGGGATGACAAAAATATTCGTAATCATGGATATCTGTCCGAATCCGGTCGAATCGAGTAGGGTAAAATTCGAACTCGAAGAATATTTAGTGGGTACCGGGGTGGAGTCAGGATTTCGAGACCGGGTGGGAGCAAAAATAAATAAATGTAAATAAAAATAAAATAATTATTTTTAAAGTCTACAACGTTTTTTGAAATCTTTGAAATTTCTCAAAATAGCATATGAACTAAAATTTTTAATTATCTTTCTTTCAATATAAATAACTAAGTCATTAACAAGAAACTCATCATTTATTTTGTTTCGCAATCTATTTTTCACTATCTTTATACCTGAAAACATGCACGATCACATGTAGCTTTAGAAATTTGGAAGAGTTAGAAGACATATCAACCTATCAACAAAATAAAATTCCTTTGATACTGATCTTTCTGTTCATTCCGACCTAGATAAAAAATATATATCATATAGTTTGTATAAAGAGCTAAAATCCCAAGTGAAATAAATAAGGTTGATTTTTTCATTTGTAGCTGGATTAAAGTAACAAAAAGAATGAAAATGAGTGGGTATCCGTTTGCTTTGGTCCAGGACCTTTTTTTCATTTGTAGCTGGATTAAAGTAACAAAAAGAATGTAAATGAGTGGGTATCCGTTTGCTTTGGTCCAGGACCTTGTGGAGGAGAATTAAGATAATAAAGTCCAAAAAGAAGTTAAAGCAAAAATAAGGTTGTTGTGGATTGAACTTGTTTGCTTTAGGCTAGAAGTTTAGCTTAGCTACCAGTAGACTACATGATTGTTATATGATACAATGTATAGGTCAAGCACTACTTATCCAAAATTTATCTAAATATTCTTACGGTCCTAGGGACAGAGACTAATCTCGGGTGGGCCGGGGCCCACCCTACTGTTTGAGTAGCTCCGCTCCTGGTGGGTAGAGGTAAAATCCAAACTCGAATATTACCAGTAATGGTTGGGCATGAGTTTCTCACTATCCAACCCGAACCCGCCCGATTATACACATGCATATGTATTTTGTCTAGAAATAATCATTATTTTTCTCTAACATATTTTATATTTAGCATATAATATAATATTTTCATGAAATTGTGTTGTTTTAATTGATTTTCCTCATTTTAGTGAATTAGTGTCGTACTTTTCCTCTTATGTAATGTAAGAATACGTGTGAATATTAACATATTGGTTGGAGTTATGAAGAGAAATTATTATTCATGGATAACCGTGGATACCCCAAACTTGAACGGGTATGGGCATGTTTTTTATTTTCTACTCGTTTTACATGTGGGTATAGGTATGGGTAAAACCCGAAGTACTTTGGGTAGGGTAACGAATATGCACTATCCACCCCCGACCCGACCCATTGCCATCCTCCCATCCCTACTCAGAGGTAGCACTAATTATTAATTAATTTAATTAATTAAAAGTGCAAGTAACCCAAAAGGTGGGTCACTGTTGCATACGATTAAAACGGATTTCTTACCCTGTTCACTTCCATTTTCGTTTCCTGTTTTCATGCCATAAATTTGGCAACCAAAACGAGAAAACTTGTTTACTTTTAATTCTGTTTTCTATTTGTTTCCAACTATGAAAACAGAAAGTAGCAACTTCCTGCTGTTTTCGGAAACGACGAAATATTGTTTTCATATGTTTTCAAGATCTGTTTTCTCAAAAACAGTAAACAGAAATGAAAGTAAACAAGGGTGTTTTGTAATTCCATGCGGGCGCGTGTACATTACCTGGTGGCTAAAAAGAATATCAATAATTTTCAGTTTATTTGTATATCTCTGTCTTATTTTTACCATTCTGAATGTGTACATGTATTAGCATCTCAACAATATTCATTACATGTATTAGCATCTCAATCTTTTTCAGAATTTTAAAGTTTAACTACAAAGTTTAGCTACAATATTCATCATATTTACAAAAGTTTTACGTCGTTCCTTAGGGTCAAACGGTCTTACTTTTAATAACTTGATTTATTATTAGACCACACATTATGGAAGATTTACGTAACACTATTCTATAACAGTTAAGTAAATTACAATTCCATTACATAAAACATGTGGAGGGATAGTTATTTCGTATCTATCAATTAAACAAAATGCAGTACGTATGTCTTTTGTAATTATTAAGAAACAAACATATTGTGTAAGCATTCCTTGCTATAAGTTTGAACCAAAAATTCATTTATTATTAACTAAATTGTTAACCATCTCATTGATTTGTATTCCTCAAAGGTTTCGTAAAGTAAGTTAACTTTTACATAATAGTTTTATCAAATGTTGTACTTTTCTATAACTTGATTTTCTTATTAGACCTACGGAAGATTTTGTAACACCATGTCATGAACCTTATGGAGGAATAATTATTCTTATGCATCAATTAACAAAAGTACTACGAAAGTCTTCCGTAAGACACTACGTAAAATTTTATGGAATTATCTTATCCGAACTATTTTGTCAATGATTTGATTTGAACTAAATTATTAAATGAATATATGAAATTTTAAATATAATTATTTTCTTGGCGTCACGAAGCGTGGGCCAAAAAACTAGTTATATATAGGGTTATAGGTATAATATGCGCTTCTACTATGTCGTTTTATCAAACATGCCCCTCTACTATTTTTTTACATCAAACATGCCCTTTTACTTTGGAAAAGTTATCAAACATGCCCTTATGTTAAAATTTCCACTGAAAAAATTGTCGATCATGGTTGAACCGAGATTTAGACGACCCGATATCAACAAATGGGAGGGAAAATGTCGGTTTTGTCCCTTTTTTAATTTCTCCGAGTCTCGTCAAAGTGAAATTATTAGAATTATATGGCTATACAAAAGAACCAAAAATATTCTAAAGTGTAATTATTAATGATATTTTGCACATTTGTGTCGCTCAAACCAAACTAAGGCATTAGCTAACAGTTTTTGGATGAAAATTTTAACAGAATGACATGTTTGATCATTTTTTCAAAGTACATGGGCATGTTTTATGTAAAAAAAATAGTAGAGAGACATGTTTGATAAAACGACATAATAAAGGGGCATATTATACCTATAACCCTAATATATAATAAATGCGGCTTCTGGCTATATTATACCTATAATCCAAAGGTAAGATAGCCTAACGGTAAAGTTGTCGTGACAGTGAAGGTTTGGAAGTTGCAGATCCCAGATTCGAATCCAAGCAAGCCCATTGGTGTTCCCGGAGGTACAAGTCTGCTGCTGCGAAGCCCCGTTTGCGTCGAATTTGATTGCAAGTGGCCCCCAAATTTAGTAGAACCTGCTATCATAAAGTAGCACGTAGTGCTGAGATTCTGACTAATAATAAAAAATAAAAAAACAATCGTTCCCTTTTAATTCAAATTGCCCAACAAACCAAACTATGAGGCTCGGCTTGGTTCGGGGTCTGTCCTTATGGACCCAACAAAATCAATATATGGGCTTCCAAATTCCAAACAATCACGAGCCACGATGGACCGCGGCCTACCTAGCCTAGTTGTATTATATTGTATGAACTAGTCGGTTTATGCAAGTAGCATGCTTCGATTAGTACTACAACATGTTTATTTTAATTCATGTTGGTTTTAGTATAACACTTAGAGAAATAGGAAACTATTAGCATTAAATGAATTTACCGTATATATATTAGACAATTTAACTAAAATTTACATCAATATTTAAATAAAACATAACCCCCAACAAAATGAAAATTCATCATATTTAAATGCAACATTTCAAGCCAACATCCAAATGTTAATACTCGAATACAACAAATAACACCAATATTTAGTGGATTGGGA